GGCAGTTAAAGTGATGTAACACTGGATTATTCCTGCAGTGTGTTTTGGACCATGGAAACTCACGGGGCCCCTTTTTAAAAAATTTTCCTTAATTGCCACTCTTTTATAATTTTTAATAGAACCCTTGCTGCTGTTTCTGTCATAATAAACTCCTTTGGAGTGGATGCCAGTTTCCCAAATGCCGCTTTGGTATTATAAAAATTAACATATATAGAGTGGAAAAAAATCACGCTTAACACGTGGTTCGGTTCTTAAAGTCTGCTTTGCAACACCAAAGGATGCCTTCACCCCACTTTGAGGAAAGTGTACCATCACAGCATGGCGTACAATCTGGGCGAAGCTGGGGTTTGAATCCCGGCTCGTCCATGGAAACCCACTGGGTGACCTTGTCCAAGTCACACTCTCTCAGCCTCCGAGGATGGCAACGGCAAACCCCCTGTGAAGAATCGTGCCAAGGAAACCTTGCGACAGGTGTGCCTTTGGGTCGCCTTAAGTCGGAAATGACTTGAAGGCACACAACAACAATAACAGCAGAAAATGAGACGGATTTCGGGTGCTTGTAGGCCCAGCAGGTAGCCAGGCCATGTGTAAGGGATGGCTGCTCCTAGCAGTGGCTGAGTCAGGCCCTTTTGGCAGAGGGTCAAGAGAAGATGGCGATTAGCATCGGAGGTAGGGAAGAGGCCAGCTGGCATCCTCCTTCTCCAGATGGCAGCTCTGCAGAGCATCCCCTCTCCTTCTGTGAGTCGCCAATTTAATTAAGGCAAGCCAAGTAATGAGGCTCATTAGCATCCCCCCAGAATTGGCTGGGGATGTGAGCTGGACTTTTTCCCAAAGTTCTTTTTGCAAGACCCAAGATGCTCAATCCTGGCCCCTCGTGGGATAAATAGAGTTCCTTCTTCCAAAATCACCAAAAAGTGATACCTTTATGGGGCCAACCAAAATTGCACAACATACATGTTGCAAGCTTTCGAAGCTCCACTGGCTTCTTCTTCATCAGGCAAGCTGTTACAACCCAAACAGGATTGGGGAAAAAAGATGTTATTCATAGGCCTGCATTTTGATGGTATGGAAGGGTAAATCTTGCAGGTTGGCGCCTCCTCTGTGTGCTAACTGGGAGATTTTGAAAGTCCGTGAAATTTAACATCCACTTGCAATACAAAAAATATACTTCCTTTGGAATCCAGCATGTCTCCATCCTTTGTGAGGCTGCATGCCCCTTTTGTAGGTGGAGGACATAGGATTTCTCAAGAAGCCTTCCTGCTTTTGCATCAGGGAAACGTTGGATGGTGTTGAGGTTGTTGTTGTTGTGTGTTGTTGCGTCGTGTGCCTTCAAGTCATTTCTGGCGTATGGCAACCCTAAGGCAAACCTATCCTGGGGTTTTCTTGGAACGTTTCGTCAGAGGGGCTTTTCCATTGCCGTCCTCTGAAGCTGAGAGAGTGTGACTGGCATAGGTCACCCACTGGGTTTCTATGGCCAAGCCGGGATTCAAACCCTGGTCTCCAGAGTCATAGTCCAACCCTCAAACCACAACACCACACTGTTGTTGTTGTGTGTCTTCAAGTTGTTTCTGACTTAGGGCGACCCTAAGGGGACCCCATTACAATGGGCCCTTGGTATCCGCTGGGCTTCGGTTCAATGACCCCCTGGGATACCAAAATCTGCAGACGTTACGTTCCCATTAAATATAATGGATAAGTAAATGGTATTCCTTATATAAAATGACAAAATCAAAGTTTGCATGTATATATATTTAAAATATTTGCAAGCCGTGGATGCTTGAATCTGTGGATTAAAAAAATCTGTGGACTTGGCTGACTGTAGAAATAAACCGGTTTGGAACTGGTTAATTTACATGATGTTCACACTTGCCCCGACTACAATTGATGCAATTTGCACACCCCCCCCCCAAAAAAAGCCCACTTAAACTGGTGCATTTGGCACCGGACCCCTTAGCGGCTCTTTTTTTTAAAGAGCCACATCGATTTGCATCTTCGGTAGTGTAACCACGCTACCAAATCGATTCATATCACGCTGCATCGTTCCCAGGAATTGAGGCATCTCCATTTTAAATTGATGTGGTGGCATATATGAATGGCAATAGGGTTAAAATGCCACAGAGAGAGATTAAAACTGTAGTGGGGACACCGAACCGGTTCTGAATTGGCACAGAGATGCGAATCTCTTCGCTTAAACACGTTAAGTAAGAATGACCCCTTGGCATGTTTTTTTTTAAAGAGTGGGTTTGCCATTGCCATCCTTTGAGGTTGAGAGAATGTGACTTGCTCTGCTCTGGTGCAGCAACAAGCTATACTTCCCAAAATCCCGTACCATTGAGCCATGGCAGTTAAAGTGGTGTCAAACTGGATTATTTCTGCAGTGCTGATGCAGACTATGGGCCTTTGCAGACTGCCAGGAATAGTGCAAATTGACAGAGAAGGCTCAATGTTTCAGAAAAAAAATACAATTCCCATGATTCCCTAGCACTGAGCCAGGGTAGTTAAAGTGGACTCCATTTGCACTATTTCTAGCAGTCTGCAAAGGCCCTAAGTTATATATATCAGTGTTCCCTTAGCTTTGAAGCTCCCTAAATATTTCTGGAAAGCGAAGAGATGCAAGATGTCGAGCTTCTTGGGGAAAAAAATAACTTTTTGGACTATAACTTCCAGAATCCTTCAGGCAGCCGCAAAAGTTACTTTCCCAGATTCTGCTTAAGATGGCAGGAGCCCAAATAGCTGCTAATGAAAGGGCTGACGATAGTTGCTAAAAGCACACAAACAAGGGAGCCGAGTGGCCAGCTTCCAAGATGAAGATACACTGGAGATGCCAAGCCATGAACAGTGCCAACTTGAATTGGCATTGAGAGCCAGACAGAGAATGGTGTCTGTCTTAGGGAAAGAGATCTGTCAGAAAGTCTTGGGGTCTGGCCCATTAGAGTGGGAGAAATATCCAGGCGGCAAGTCGAAAGGTGGAATCTAATAGACCAGGGTCCCCTTCGCACTGCAGAATTATAGCACTATGATTCCATTTTAACTTCCATTGCTCCATCCTGTGGGATCCTGGGATTTGCAGTTTAAGGAAGGACATTTATAACTCTCAGCCAGAGGGTCTAGTAGTGTTTTACCATACTACAATCCCCAGGATTCCATAGGCCAGAGCCATGGACTTTAAAGTGGAGTCGTAGTGTCATAATTCTATATCGTGAAAGAGATCTATGCTATTTTAGAGCTGTAAGGTTGAGGGAGTCACAGTCTCTCAGCCTCAGAGGATGGCCATGGGAATCCCCCTCTGAAGAAACTTGCCAAGAAAACCCTGTGATAGATTCGCCTTAGGGTCACCATAAGTCAGAAATGATGTGAAGGCGCACAGCACACACACACACACACACACACACACACACACACACACACACACACACACACACACACACACGGGGTAGCCACACAGCCAAATTAAAGCAGTTTGACACCACTTAAACTATCATGATTCCATCCTACAGAATCCTGAGTAGTGTTTTCTCTAGGACCAGGACTGGTCAACCAGCCAAGGACAACTGGTGTCCAACAGCAGGATGTATCTCCTAGCAGCCCCTCTTCACAAGGCTATCTAGAAGACCATGTAAAATTAAAAATCCCATGTTGCCAACTTTTTTATTTCATTTCTGTTTCAGAGATGCTACAAGACCTCTCTACATACAAACCCCAGCTTTCCATAAACTGCATTCTGCACCGTGGGGGCATTTCCTAGCCTTCTTTGCAAGACTCAAGAAGACATTGTAAAACTACAGATCCCAGTTTTACTATATAGGATGGACCTCCAGCCCTTAAAGTGATGCCCAGCTGCAAGGATGCACCTTGGTGCACCTACAGGGCAGAAATCATACTCTTGGGCACCTCCTTAAGGGCTGCAGTTCCACCCTATGGAAAGCTGGGATGAGTAGTTTTGTGGGGCACCAGCCAAGAACACTGGGCCAGACTACACATCCCAGGTTTCCATAGGAGGGACCTCCAGCCCTTAAAGTGATGCCCAGCTGCAAAGATGCAAGGATGCACACCTTGGTGCATCTACAGGGCAGAAATCATGCTCTTGGGCACCGCTTTAAGGGCTGCAGCTCCACCCTCTGGAAAGCTGGGATTTGTAGTTTTGCAAGGCTTTCCTCCTCCTCCTCCATCGTCAGAGTGGGGCGGAGGCGAAGGGAGGCGGATCCTGGAGCCCAGGAGGAGGCGCAGCAGCCGGCTTGCAGCGTGCGGACAAAGGAGAGGCAAGGCTCTCCTCGATCTTGGGAGGCGATCGGAGGATCTCCCACCAGGGATTTCGGATCCCCGGGGCTGCCTCCACCTCCTGGCCCCAGTCCCTCGACCCTTCCTCGGGATCCTCCCTGGGATCGTTTTGGCTTCCTCCTGAGCCCTTGCAAGCTGTGCCAGGTAAGCTAGGGAGAGGATTACTGAATCTGCCAATGGGTGGATCTCCCAAAACCTGACTTCATGGGTCTGGATCTGCTTGACTTTCATATACACCCCAGCTCTGACTTCCCGCCGCCCCAAGATCTCTCCTTTCCAGCCCCAGGATGGATGGGTATGGTGAGAGTGCCCTCAAGCATGTGCAGAGTGCTTTGGGCTGGCCCTGTCTCTTTGAACTATTGAGGGTCGTGTGTGTTGTGGACCTTAAAGTCGTTTCTGACATATGGCCACCCTAAAGGAAACTCTATCATGGGATTTTCCTGGCCAGGTTTGTTCAGAGGAGGTTTGCCATGGCCTCCCCCTGAGGCTGAGAGTGTGTGACTTGCCCAAGGTCACCCAGTGGGTTTTGTAGCCGAGCTGGAAATCGAACCCAGGTTTCCAGAGATATAGTCCGACACCCAAACTGCTAAGCTATAGGACTGGGGATAATTTTGGACCCCTGGAACCTCGCAGGACCCATTCAGGGGTACAAAAATGCCCCCCATAAAGCATATATATGTTTGTGTGTGTGTGTGTATGCGTGTATGGGTATGTATGTGAATGCCAGTGTGGCTTAGAGGTTTGAGCATTGGACTTTGACACTAGAGACCAGGGTTCAATTCCCAGCTTGGCCATGAAACCCAGTGGGTGACCTTGGACAAGTCACACTTTCTCAGCCTCAGGGGAAGGCAATGGCAAATCTTGCCAAGAAAACCCCATGATAGGGTTGCTATAAGTCGGAAACAACCTGAAGGTATACAAGGCAAAAGATGGGGATGTATATATGTTGTAGCTTTGTTGTGTGCCTTCATGTCATTTCCAACTCGTGGCAAACCGATCATGAGGTTTTCTAGGGCTGAGAGTGTGCGACTTGCCCAAAGGTCACTCAATGGGTTTTCATGGCGGAGTAGAGACTCAAACCCTGATCTCTAGACTTTTAGTCCAATGCACAAACCACTACGCCATGCTGACTCTTCTGTGTGTATATATGCACACATACAACAAGGAAGTGGTTTCTCTATTTTTGACACATGTGCGTTTTTAAAAAATGTCAAACCCCTGTACATCATCTGTTTTAAATGCTTCCCTTGGAAGGGGTCTGAGAGAGGCAATTCACCCACATTTTTGTCCCCCCAAACAGTGTGACTTGCTCCGCTCTGGTGCCACAACAAACTATAATTCCCAGAATTACATAGCATTGAGCCATGGCCGTTAAATTGGTGGCAAACCAGATTATTTCTGCAGTGTGGATGCAGCCTGAGAAGCTAAACTAACGAGACAGTATGAGACAATTGAAGTACATTAATATGAGACTGTAGACTTATATATTAAATGGCATTATATTAAGTCTCAAGACTTGGCCAGTGTTACCTCCTGCTTCTGGCTTCTGCTCCGTGGGGCAATTTTTTGGGGTGGTTGGGTAGGAGATCTCCCCCATCCTCACTTACATCTTTCAGTAGGAAAAGGCCAGAGGTAATTTTTGCATAGAAACCATGTGTACACCACCCCAGAACTATGTGCACATATTGGCAGGTTTAAAAAGAATGCAAGTTTGGAAGGAGCTTGGAAAATTTACTACAGGTCCAACCATTCCCTAGCCATAGGGACCACTGGCCATGCTTCTTGGCAGAGTCATGGAGGTTTATTTCCCCGACGCCCCCCACAAGGAACATGTTCAACCTTTGATCCTAGGTGTGTTTACATGGAAGTACACGTTTCTCCATATTCTGTTCTAACAGTAGTGTTTTGTCCAAGTACAGATTTCTCATCAGGACTATCCGATATGTTGGCACTCCCGTGTCTTTAAGTGCCATCCATAGTTTTTTGTGATCTTTGCAGTCAAATGCTTTGCTATAGTCTATAAATCTCATGATGATTTTCTTCGGGAATCCTTTAGTGCGTTCCATTAATCATCATATGTTTGCAATGTGGATCCTAGTGCCTCTTCCTTTCCTGAATCCCATTTGCATCTTTGGGATTTCTCTGTCCATGTATGGTTGGAGTCTGTGCTGCCGAATTTTGAGCATGATTTTGCTTGCACGGAAATTAATGCTGTGGTCCTATATAGTTGCTGCAGTCTTTTGTGTCTCCTTTTTTGTGTATGGAGATATATATCGATCATTTCCAGTTTGTTGGCCACGATTTAGTTTTCCATATTTGTTGGCATATTTTAGTTAGCACTTGAATTGATTCTGTCCATGTGGATTGTAATAATTCAATTGGAATGTTGTCTGTTCCTGATGATTTATTCTTCCCAGTTCCTCTTATTGCAGCTTCCACCTTACTTCCCAGAATTTGGGGCTCTTCTTTGTATGAATTCTCCTTTCATATGATTAATTTTTTTTCATCCCTTATATGTAACTCGATCCAATGTCTTTATATTTCTTCTTGATCTTGTAGTATGTTCTATTCCTTGTTATATCCCACTTTTCTCCCAAAATGAGTCCCAAGTCCAATGTGGCTTGTAATATAAGCTAAAATAATATGTCTTAGAAAAGTTTAAGGAGTGTTAAACAAACAATCTGATTAAAACTTTACTTTTAAACCATGATTTTTAAACAATGTAAAAAAAAATATTACGGAGGGAATTTCAAGCACATACAAGTTGAGCCTCCCTTATCTGAAACACTTGGGACCAGAAATATTTTGGATTTTGGAATGTTTGCATATACGAGATATTTTGGAGACGGAACCCAAGTTTAAACATGAAATTCATTTATGTTTTGTATACGCCTTATATACAAAGCCTGAAGGTAATTTTATACAAGCTATTTTTAATAATTTTGTGCATGAAACAAAGTTTGTGTCCTTTGAACTATTAGAAAACAAAGGTGTCACTATCTCAGCCACGCATGTGGATAATTTTGGGTTTTGGAATATTTTGCATTTCGGATTTCCAGATAAGGGAGACTCAACCTGTATTGCATATTAAAGACAGTACACTCACTGTACATCCTTGTACCTCAACCAGTTAAACTCTGAAGATTTGTTTAAATAAATAGGTCTTTGCATGCCAGAACAATAGAACAGAGAAGGGGCCTGCCAAAACTTCTTTGGGGGGGAAGTTCCAAAGTCTACAAACAACCACCAAAAAGGCTGTGTCCCATGACCCCAGCTGCTCCAACATGGAGAGAAAGCCTGTCTCAGAATTTGACCACAATCTGAGCTCCAGATCCAGCGGTCTTCACTGTTTGATATGCTGGTTAAGGCTTTTGGGAGCTGAAGTCCGAGAATATCTGGAGAGCTACCTGAATCCTAGAGAGCCAGGCCCCTGTTTCTGGTCAGCCAAGAGACCTGGCAAAATCCAGATGACCCTAGCGATCTGGGCCTCCATCATGTCACAAATCTGCCTTGAGGGTGAGTTTCTGTCATGATTCACTAGAGGCCCTGGATTAGGGCTGGGAAATAGGAGGACTTCTGGATGTTTTTGGACTGCAACCCCCAGCATTCCTTGCCCTGGGCTGTGATGGTTGGGGGATGCTGGGAGCTACAGTCCAACAACATTCAGAGGGCTGAAAATTTCCCACTTCCACCCTACGTGTGGTTACCTCTAGGTTAGGGCATACCGTGGAAAAATTCTTTTTTAATTTACTGTAAGTCCCAGAATCCCCAGAATCAAACATATTAAGAATGAGGGAAGAATAGGGTTTTTTATTACCCCTTCTAGAATGTCTCACCCAGCATATCAAATGATCACAGCGACTCAGGGATTGTGGAAGCAGTAGTCCACAAAAGTAATTTTTTTGACTTCCGGGGCTGGAGGACATGGAAGCAGTATCCAATGCCCGAGACAGATGTTGTGTATACAGTCCTGAATTGCCTGCAGTCTCTGTGCAGCTCACCCCACCTATCCCCAAATTCCCCAAATGTTAATACAGGTATTTCCAACCTCTGGTTTTAGGAAAGGAAGGCGAGATCACAAGGGCTCTATAATAACCTGAAGGTGAGAGTTCACATTGTAGGGTTTAGTGATCTGATGTAGTGTCAGGAAACCCAGAGGCAAGACATGCGTCACTTTCTCCAGTGACAAGGAAGGAAAAGAAGCAGAGACACTCCTCAGCTTTGCGCAGGAGAAAGGGCTGGAGGCTGTGACTCCGGTCCCGAATAGGTAGTGAAACTAGGAAATTTCTGCAGCCCTTGCTGGGTTAGAGGTTGCCAGTCCTGCTGTGCTGTTCCAGGTAGTTTTATTCTGGGGAAGTGAAAGCGGAAACAGCTGAGCAAGAGCTGGCATGTGAATGGGAGGCAGATGGGATTACTATACATGTTTTGTATATCTATGTGTATTTGTGCAAATGCACATGCCACAGAAATGTGGAGTTTTTACATCTCGGATTCTCTGGTTTCAAAGGAATCCTTCTTGCTATGCGCCTTCAAGTCATTTCTGACTTATGGTGATCCTAAGAGCAAACCTATCATGAAGTTTCCTTGGCAAGATTTGTTCAGTGGGGGGTTGTCATTGCCGTTCCTTGAGGCTGAGAGTGTGTGACCTACTCAAGGCCACCCAGTGGGTTTCCGTGGCCAAGTGGGGATTCTAACCCTGGTCTCCCAGAGTCCTAGGCCAGTGCTTAAACCACTATGGGCCTTTGCAGACTGCCAGAAATAGTGCAAATTGAGTCCACTTTAAGGGTTAGGATTAGTGCTAGGGAATCATGGCAATTGTTTTTTTTCTGAGACACTGAGCCTTCTTTATCAGAGAGCTCTGGTGCCACAATAAAATACAGTTCCCATGATTCCCTAACCCTAACCCTTAAAGTGGACTCAATTTGCACTATTTCTAGCAGTCACACAAGTTTTTTCCCCCTAGAGAAATCCTAGAAGGCAGTAAACTCTACTCATGTCCTATGAGACTTCCAGATTTAGCATCCCATTCTCAAAGAGGGGAGTTTGTTTTAGGAATTAAAATAATGATGCCCATCCCTCTGATACCTGTAGTTTTGTTGTTCTTGTGTGCCTTTTAGTTTTTTTCCTGATTTATGGCAACCCTATAATTGGATTGGAAAAAGTAACTTTTGGGACTTTGTTATTGTTGTGGGCCTTCAAGTCATTTCCAGTTTATGGCAACCCTATCATAGGGTTTTCTTGGCAACTTTCTTCAGAGGGAGTTTGGCATTGCCATCCTCTGAGGCTGAGAGCATGTGACTTGCCAAGATCTCCCAGTGGCTGAGCTGGGAACTGAACCCTGGTCTCCAGAGTCATAATCCAACACTCAAGCCGCTGTGCCACGATTTGTTCTACAATCCATTTATTTGTCTTTTTAGCCATCTATGATATCTGTCAGAAACGACTTGAAGGTACATAACAACAACAACAACAACAACAAATGGTATGTGCAGAATGTTTTTCGAGCACTGCATCTCAAATTAGTTGATTTTCTTTCTATCGGCTTTCTTCACTGTCCAGCTCTCATTCCCATGCATAGTGATAGGAAATAAAACGGCATGGACAATCCTAATTTTAGTGTTGAGTTGTATATTTTTTGCACTTCAAGACCTTGTCTAGTTCCTTCATAGATGCCCTTCTCAGTCCTAATCATCTGATTTCTCGACTGCAACCTTTATACCGATTAATGATTAATCCAAGGTATGGGAAATCGTTAATTTGATTTCCTTATTGTCTACATTTAATTTATGTAAAT